TTCTCCGGGTGCGAGCGTGCGACCAGGTCCCGGCTTTCGCAGGAGTTCACCGCCGCACCAGCCAGCCCGAGCGCGGTGGCCGCGGCCTTTGTCCCCCGGACTTCCCCGCCCCCAGCCCTCCACGCGCCCCTTGGCCCCTGAGGCCCGGAGACTCGGGCGGGGCGAGGGCCGCTGTCGGGGCTCCGGGGGCAAACTCCGGAAACAGGGCACCCTCGAATGCCCCAGTAAACCCCACCCGATCCCTGCGACCGAACTTTTCTGTCCGGGAACTGTACATTTTTCTGATCCATGTAAACCTAAACAGGTTGCTTCCATATTTTTAGCCTCGGTTGCTTATTTTGTAAAATAAAGTTAATGATAAATATACGGGATTGTTGTGTAGATTAAATGAAGTAACAATGGTATAAAGTTCCTAACTGGACCCTGGCACGTATTAAGTCCTCTATTTATGCTAGGTCAAGCATGATTTCATTTACCCAAGTTTGCAGCTGAAATACAAAGCAGGAGGGTGCAGGTCTCGTCCCCAACACACCACGCATACAGCCTTAAAGCTGCAGGATCAAAGGCTCTGCTTTCAATTCTCTTCAAGTGACAGAAAGAGGTGCTGAGGGCTAGGCTGTATCTTTTCCAGATCCTCCAGGATGGACCTCCAGCGGGGACTCTGGAAGGTACTTTTCACGGCTGGAGGCTTCTCATATTCAGGTCTCTGCTCTCATCTCAGCTCCTGGAGGATCCCTCCTCAGACCCCTCTGTCGAAAGGAGACTCATCCCCTCCTCCCTTCACTATTCCATTACTGTGTCCACTTAATTGACGTTCTTATTTGCGTGTGTTTCTTTATTACCTTGTTTGTTGTATGTTAGACCCCCACCCACACCAAAAAGTCAGCTGGATGAGAGGAGGGGCCTTGGCCTGGCCCATCCACAGCGCCTGAAACCGTGCCTGGCTCATGTGTGCAGTCAATCGCTGAATGAGTGCATGAAACACTCCACACTGACACCCCTGCACCTGGGGAAGCTGGACTCTGGGAGATACCGAGCCCAGCCTTTGAGGGACACAGGCTGTAGCTGATGGGATGAGACCCATATTAAAGTCAGACTGCAGGCAGTGTGGGTGCTATTTATTCGGAAATGGGCCCCAGACTGAATTCGGAAGACCCTGAAGGGCTGGTCAAGTTTGACTGGGAAGGAGAGGGAGGGGAGAGCAAATACAGGGTTGTGAGAGGGGTGTGGCACGTTCAGGAGGCCATACACACTCCCTTGGGAACAGAGATACTAGGGAGAGAGGCCATATGAGTTACAGAAAGGGAATCCGTGTGATTGTGGAGGATCCTGAACACCTGTCTGAGAGAGCTTCCTGCCTTCAAGGAGATTTTTGAGCAAATGACAGTGGGAAAATAGTGTTTTTATTGTTAAACATCAATTTAAATAATACATTAAGTGGGCAAAGACCACAAACACACAATTCGTAAAAAAAAATAATACAGGTGGGTTTTAAACAAATGAAAAGACACTCAACCATCTCATAATAGGAGAAAGGTAGATTAAAATTAAGGTGAAATACCATATTTAAGATATCAAATTGACAAAAAATGCACATTATAAAAAAAGTCGTTCATTGTTGGTGGGATTTCAGAATGATTGTCTCTTTGAAGGTAGTCTGGTAAAAGCTATTAGAATTTAAATACATATACCTTTTGGCCTAGCAATCCCACTACTAGAAAATATCCTACATTAGTGCCCACCCAGGGGCACAAAGGCCTGTGTACTAGCGTATTCACAGCAGCATTGTCAATAGTTACAAAAGACTGGGGACAACCTAAATGTCTATCAAAAAAGAACAGGTTTGTATGGTAATGAATGTTAACTAGACTGGTTGTGGTGATATTTCACAATATATACAAATATGGAATCATTATGTTATTATATACCTGAAACTAATATAATGTTATATGTCAGTTATACTTCAATTTTAAAAAATAGGTTAATTATGTCGTATTCCCATAATAGAATGCTATGTAGCTGTTAAAAGGAATGTGACATAGATTTCTATGAACTGCCATGGAATGGTATTTAAGATATTAAGTGACATGTAAGATGGAGACCTGTGTATATGGTATGTTACTATTAATATACAGGGAGCATCATGGCTGAGTAAGATATCCCTTATTTGTGCCCCTCCCGCAACAAGAAGAGTTTAGCATCCATCCTAAAGTGTTTGGGCACATTGAAGAAGGTAGAAGAGGGTAGATAGTAAAGACTACAGGAGGTGGGTGCTCTTTCAAATGAGAAGACAGCAACACAAAACTTTAAGGAACATGAAAAACCAACAAAACATGACACTACCAAAGGAACACAATAATCTTGCTAGCAAGCAATCCCAAAGACATGGAGATCTGCAATTTACCTGATAAATAACTCAAAATAGCTGTTTTAAGGAAACTCAATGAGCTAGCTACAAGGAAATACAGAAAGACAGTTCAATGAAATCAGGAAAACAATACATGATCAAAATGAGAAATTTAAGAAAGGGATAGAGCTCTGGCTGGTGTGGCACAGTAGATTGAGCACTGGCCTGCAAACCAGGTCACTGGTTCACTTTCCAGTCAGGGCACGTGCCTGGGTTGTGGGCCAGGCCCCCAGTTAGGGGCATGTGATCACATTGATGTTTCTCTCCCTCCCTTTCCCTCTCTCAAAATTAAAAAAAAAAAAAGTAAATAAATAAAACCTTATAAAAGAAAGAGAAATCATAGAAAAGAACCAAATTCTGAAGGTGATTAAATGAAATGAAAAAAAAAATGCAATAGAGTATAAACAACAGAATGAATCAAGCAGAAGAAAGAATCTGCGAGTTAAATGATAAGAACTTTGAAATTACCTAGTCAGAGGAGAACAAAGAATGAAAAAGAGTAAGGAAAGCCTACATGATCTGTGCAGTACCATCAAAAGAAATACTTTGTGAATTATTGGAGTTCCAAGAAAGAGGGGGACAGGAAGCTTATTTAAAGCAATGATAGCTGAGAACTTCCCAAATCTGGGGGGAGATTTGGATATCCAAGTACATGAAGCTCACAAGGCACCAAACAAATTCAAAGAGGTTCCTCTCTAGGACACAAGTTTAATAAAACTGTCAAAAATCAAAGAGAATAAGGGAATCTTAAAAACAGGAAGAGCAAAGGAGCTAAGGAAGAGTCTAGGCAAGAACATGTATAAAGGGCCCATGGACGTGGACAACAGTGTGGGGATTGACTGTGGGAGCCACAGGTGTGGGGGGAAATTGGGACAACTGTAATTGAACAACAATAAAGTTAAATAGTTAAATAAAATTGATCAAAGAAAAAAGCTGCCAACCAAGAATTCTCCTTCTAGCAAAATTATCCTTTAGAAATGAAAGCAAGATGAAGAATTTCCCAGAAAAACAAAAGCTAAAGAGGTGTATCACTACTAGGCCTGCCTTACAATAAATGCTGAAAGGAGTTCTTCAAGCTGAAATAAAAGGATGCTAATTAGTAACATGAAAACATATGAAAACACAATATGCAGGTAAAGGTAATTATATATACAAATCCAGAATACTCTAATAATGCAATATGATTGTGTGTAAACCACTTAACTCTAATATAAAGGATAAGGAGTATTAAAAATAACTAACTACAATAATTTGTTGATGAATACACAGTATAAAAAGAGGTCAATTGTGACATCAAAAATGAAGAAAGGAGGGGATGAAAGGGTAGAATATATGTGATCAAAGGTAAATTAATATCAGCATAAAATACACTTTTATATCTGTAACATGTAAGATGTTATGTGTAAGCCTCATGGTAACAACAAAGCAAAAACCCACAGTAGATTTGCAAAAGATAAAGAGAAGGGAATCAAAGCATATAACTATGGAAAATCATCAGTTCACAAAGGAAGGCACAAGAGAGGAAGAAAGGAACAAGTGAACTCTAAAAGAGCCAGAAAACAATTAATAAAATACATTAGTGAGTCCTTACGTATCATAATTACTCTGGGGTGGGAGGGATGGACAGAGGAGGGCAAAGAGGGAAAAATTGGGACAACTGTAATAGGATAGTAATGAAATTAAAAAATAATTAAATGTAAATGGCTAAATTCTCCAATCAAAAGCCATGGAATGGCTTGATGCAACTCATTTCAACTCTAAGGACACACATAGGCACAAAGTGAAGGAATGGAGAAAGATATTCCATACATGTGGAAACAAGAGAATGGGGATAGCTATGCTTATATGAGACAAAATAAACTTTAATCCCAAAATGCTAATGAGAGCCAAAGAAGGTGATTATGCAGTGATACAGGGTCAATTCATCAAGAGGATAAAACAATCATAAATATATATGCACCAAACATCAGAACATCTAACTACATTAAGCAAATACTAAGAGATCTGAAGGGAAAAATAGACTACAATCATATTAGGGGACTTCAATACCACACTTTCAACAATGGATAGATTATCCAGACAGAAAAATAAATAAGGAAGTAATAAACTTGAAAACCACATTAAGCCAAATGAGTCTAACAGACAGTTTTAGAACATTCCATTCAGCAGCAGCAGAATACACATTCTTCTCAAGTACATGTGGAACATTCTCCAGGATGGATGATATGATAGGTCACAAAACAAGTCTTAGCAAATTTAAGAAGACTGACATCATACAAAGTATCACTTCCAACCACAATGGTTTGAAACTAGAAATAACAGGAGAAAGCTGGAAAATTCACAATTATATAGAAATTAAATAACAAACTTCTGAACAGTTACCGGATCAAAGAAGAAATCAACAGGGAAAAAGCCTAGGACCCAGATGGTTTTCCTGGTGAATTCTACCTCACATTTAAAAGAGAATTAATACCAATCCTTCTCAATTCTTCCAAAAATTTTAACGGAAGAGAACACAGCCAAACCTAATTTATGAGGCCAGCATTACCCTGATACTGAAGCCAGATAAGGATATTACATGAAAAGAACACCAGTGCTCACTCCAGTGGCACATAGATTGACATGGGAACCATGCAGAGATTAGCATGGCCCCTGCACAAGGATGACACAGAAATTCATGAAACATTCTACAAGAAAAATAAAAGAAAAATAAAATATAAGTTTAATTAATTAAAATAAATAAAATGCACCTTGCCCATAAGAGGTTAAATGGGCAAGTTAATGTGTTTTGAATGAATTAGCAATGCATCAATTGCTGTTCACCACTGTGTGTACAAGAATACATGTTACAAAAGTGCTCAATAAATAATGGGAGTGAATTAACTGCTTTTTTATAGTTCTAGACTTCATAGAGTCTTTTTAAGAATGTTGAGCAAACAAAAGGAAAATATAACAAAAATCCTCTTGTACATATCACCTACTGTATGGAAAAAACAAACATTACAAACAGTTGAAACTCTCTGTGTAGCTCTGTCCAATCCTGCTCATCTTCCCTCTGCAGGGGACCACTGTCCTGATTTGGTGGTTTGTCATTCCGAAGCTTCTGCTATATGTGTCCCTGTGTTTGTAGCCACAGCAACAGGTAGTAGTGTAGGAAGCAGAGGGGCTGCAGGTGAGACCAAGGTGCCACCAACAGCTTAGAGCTGAAAGGCAACTCTTATGCTTATTTTAAAATAAGTCTTATGCTTATTTTAAAAATTATAAGTAATTTTTACTTATAGGTAACAATATTAGAGAGAAAATATAAAAGAGAACAGTGCCTAAATTCACTCAGATTTCTAGAGATTTTAAAATTTGATTTCTCTAATGGATATTTTCATACATTAGGAATTAGCTAAAATGTTTCTGTTAATTTTTAAACTGGCTTGTCTAGAAAAACATAGGTCATTATTGTTCGCCCTTTTCTTTAAAAAAAAAAAGAAGGAAAAAGCTCGTAAGGGGCATCAAGGTATAGCAATAGGAACACTAGGCATCCTAGTGTTCTTACTATGAGTCTCAAAGTCGGTTACCTTTTCTGAGCCAATTTTCCCATCTTTAAAATGGGGTAATTTAAAAAATAATGAATTTATGCCAAACATTTTTCCCAAAAAATCTGGAGCTACCTTTTTGGGAAGGTGTAAAAATCGAAGAAATATAAATGTGAGACTACTTTTAAATTTTAAGCTGCGGGTATATCCTGTTAGTATCACCAGCAACAGCAATGTACGCCACCTAGCAGTGAAAAAGAGTAACTGCATCCGGAAACAATTCCGTATGTACTACATAGTGGGCATCACAATTCAGAGCCTTACACGGGTTATTGGACATTGGAGGAAGGACTCTAACATAAAAAACAAACAAAAAAATTATCTCAGAGAAAACAGACAATGTAGAAGCATAAAAAATTTAAGATTGTCATTATGTATTCAGAGATGAGAAAATATAAAACAACAGATTTCTATAAAAAAGAAAATTCTGGGAATGAAATGAGCGCTTAACAGTGGTGAGCTGTATCTTGCTCATAAGGGCTCACAGAAGCCAGCTGCTAAGTTTTCAGGAATTCTGCAAGTCAGTTAAGCACAGGCATTATTAAAAATTAAGTTATACAAACTGAAAATTAATTATATATTAAAAATGTAATTCTCAAAACTCACCATTTCCTGATTATTTTACACCATTTTCTATTATCCAAAGTCTTAAAGTCATTTACATTTATTGTTCCTGTACAGGAAAAATACAATATCATGGCCCCCTACCAAGCATCTCCATCAACTCCACTGTGATATCCCCTTGGTAGCTTGAAACCTCCCACTATGGGAGGTTTCATACACAGAAACAGATAAACATTGCAAGTCAGAATTGTCTTCTCCCCACCCCCACTGGAGAGTTAAACATATACCAACATACATTTAACAACATAAAACATATATACATGTATATACACACATATGTACATTTACCAACATGCCACTGGCTCCTGAAGACAGAAATGAGAAACTTAGTAAGATTGGAAGATAAAGTTGAAAACTCCCAGAAAGCAGGAAAGGAGATGGACAGTAGTTGTTAAAAAATTTTAAAAATTAAAGTATCAGTCCAGAAAGTCTAACGTGAAAATAATGAGTTCCAGAAAGAAAACACAGAAAACAGAATGGAAGAAAAATTAAAGGAATAATTCAAGAAAATTTCCCAGAAGTGCAAGGTAATTTTGAGACTGAAATAGCTCAAGTACCAGAACAAATGAAGAAGATAAAACCAAGGTATTATTGCAACTCTCAAAACACCAAACAATAAAGAGACAATCCTAAAAGCACTGAGTAAGGGGGAAAAAAACAGGTTAAAAAACAAAAGGAGTGGAAATCAGAATGACATCTGACTTCTCAGCAGCAGGAGGGTTAGGGGGCAGTTGTTTTTGTTCTGTTTGCTTTTTAAAGCTGGATACAATAAGCAGTGATAATTTTTAGGAAGTTTTTTCCAACCGAGACTCTATTGCTAGTCAAATTCTCAACAATGAGAGTGGAAAAAAGATTTTTTCCAAAATCTCAAAAATTTTTCCATCCTTTACATGCATTCATTTAATCAATATTTATTGAGGACCTACTATGTGTCAAACATTCTTCTAAATATTAGGGCTACAGCAGTGAACAAAGCCCCTGCTCTAATGGGGGTTACCTTTAATCTGAAAACATCAATGTAATAATTTAGGCAGCACTCAGTACTCGGAAGAACAGCAGGATTGGGGAGATGGAGGGCGCGGTGGGAGGGTGTTTTTTAAAGAGCTTCTCTGGTGAGGTCACAGTTGAACAGAGACCTCAAATGCAGGAGCCGTGTGGACATCTGGGGAAGAGTGAAGCCAGGCTCATGCGACTGGCAAGGGTGGTGGGAGGTAAAAGGCAGAGGCAGCCAGACGTCAGATCTCCGGGGCCCTTGTCCCGGTACTTTCTCCATTCGTGTCTCCAGGCCCACTCCTCCCCCTGCTCTGGTCACCTGATGTTACAGGTGACTCATAACTTTTAAAGAGTTTCTTTAAAAGACACTCCAAATTTCTCAATTTGAGTGTGACATCCATCTGTTTCTTGCCAGATTCTGGCTGATACTTCCTTGCAGGGCAAGATACGGATTTTAGCTTTTATTATGAATGAGGTGGGAACCACCGGAGGTTTTTGAGCACGTGGAATACCATGTGACTTACATTTTGAAAAATCATCCTAGATGCTAGATGTGGAAAAGACCTGGTGGAGGTCTCAGGGAGCAAAAAGAGGCCTTTACAGTAGTGAGGGTAAGAGAAGGTGACTCAGACTAGGGTGGTTGTAGCAGTGGTAAGTGGGCAAATTTGTGATATGTTAAGGTGGAACCAAGAGGATATGGTGATCAGGTGTGTATGTGGTGTAAGAAAAAAAGGCAAGGATGACTCAGGTTTTTGGCTGGAGGATAAATCAAATTTCCCTTTACTAAGATAGAGATGTCCTGAGAGCAGCCTTGGGCTGCAAAAACCAGGAGATCAACTTGAAATAAACAAAATCCAGGTGTTTATTAGAGATCCAAGTGGCAATGTTGAATACATGGGCGCATGTCTAAGGCAAGAGTTCTGGGAAGGTCTGCGCTGGAGGTATGAATTTTAGTGCAATAACCTCAAAAATAGCACTTAAAGCCACAGACCAGATGAAATTACCTAGGAGCTGGTATAAACAAAGAAGGAGGTCCAAGGATTGAAATTTTTCTTCAGAAGCTACTAGATGTTTCACCAAGAGGAAAGAGTAAACCAGGAAGAAGGAAGACATGAGATGTAGAAACAGGGGATCTGACACTGAAGGCAGGAAGAACCCCCATGCTGATGGCAACAGGAGAACTGTAGGTCTCAAGAGTAACTGGCCTGCATTGGAGTTAGAGGATGAGGTCCTGGGAAAGGTATTACCAAGGGGAGCGGGAAAAAGTAAACTTGACTGAAGATACTGAGGGTTAAACTATGATTCAAAGTTTGGGGATGAATTACAGATAGGAACACAACACTAAATAGAAAAGCAAGGTCATTACTAACATAATTGACGTAAATATATATTTACAGAAATTTTAAGTATAGACTTACATCAATATATAGAATATTCAGAAATATAAACATATTATGAGGATTCCAGGGGAAGAGGTATAAACTAAAACCCAAGAAATCCTAGAATATTATTTAGAGCAATTCCACTTCTATATATATATCCAGAATTGAAAACAGGGACTCAAACAAGTCCATGTACATGCAAAATAACCACAAGGTAGAAACAGCCCAAATATACATCAATTAACAAATTATGGTACATACCTACAGTGGAATATCCAGTAATAAAAATGAAGTACTGATACATGCTACACTATGAACCCCAAAGACACGATACTAAGTGAAAGCCAGACATAAAAGGTCACATATTGTGTGATTCCATTTACATGACATACCCAGAATAAGTAAACCCAGAGGAACAGAAAGCAAATGGGTGGTTTGCCAGAGGTGTGCGAGGGGAGAATAAGGAGTAAATGCTTTATGACTACGGGGTTTTATTTTGAGGTGATGAAACATTTTATAACTAAATACGGGTAGCAGTTGTACAATATTATGAGTACACTAAATGCCACTGAATTACTCTGGAAATGGTAAATTTTATGTTATGTGAATTTCATTTAAAGGACATTATTTAGAAATAAGGCATATTAAATGTCAGAGAAATAGCTGAGTTGAAATCAGTAGACCTAGACTTCAGGCTGCAAAAGGGAAAAAGACTGCTTTCAGTTAAAGACTTGTAAAATATGACTTTTAAAACCACATATATGCATAACTTCAATTTAGTAGGATTAACGCCTGTCACTTGATTTTTAAATGAAAAGAACAGTTCTTGAAGGAAACCTTCAAATCCTAGGCGCTCATAAATACATAGATTTGGACAAATAAGATCCATATGCTGATTCCAACTGCTTCAAATAGATGTACAAAGAAAATGCACACAGAAGCTTTTGTTTAAAAAGAGAATATCTCTGGCTGGCATGGCTCAACGAATTGAGTGCTGGCCTGCAAACCAAAAGGTCCCAGGTTCGATTCCCAGTCAGGGTATATGCCTGGGTTGCGGCCCAGGTTCCCCAGTTGGGGAGCGTGAGAGGTAGCTGATCGATGCATCTCTAGT